GGGTTGCGATCCGTTGCCGGACACGGAAAAAGACAAAAGACAAAAGAAAAAAAAAAAAGAATACAGTTCATGAATTAAAAAATGCTCCTCTTTTAGCAGAATGAGGCTCCCACAGATAATTCAGATGTTTGGAGTCCCTGCCAGCCATCATGGCTATCTGTTATCTCATCATTTGGTTTGAACTTGAATGAGGAAAGCATAATCCATTTTCTCTGTGTACTTGGGAAACCCATCCTGTAATTCCACAATGTTACCTCTGTTCCCTGTGCCTTTATGCTTAACCATGTGTTCCTCAGTGTCCTTCTGGCAACAGACTTATGAGTTCCATGCAGGGTATGTTTATGATTACTTTCCCATTAGGCTATTAAGACAGAATATAATTTTCCCATGAGTAAATATTATTTATATGTACCTATTATCAAAGAAGCCCTTTACAATTCTTGAGATATAAGAATCAGAGAGGCCTTGCTATATATTTTGAGAGTAGAGAAAAGGATGATGTTTATTGAACAATATTTTTAACATATATACACCTACATACAAATATGCACATGTACACACACACACACACACTTAATCCTTAAAATAACCCTGAGAGGTGAACATTATCATTCTCTTACTATAAATGAGAAAAGGTTCAGGGTCTGTTCAATATTTGGCTACAATCATACAAGTGCCAAAGTTCCCAAGCTGAGATTCAAGCTCATGGCTCCCGAAGTATGGATCTAGTCACAATGTTCTACTTTCGTTTTCACAAGAGAGAACAAAGACCATTACTGGCAATTTTTACACATGAATTTATGAAAATCTATCATTTTCTCAGAATTCTACTTTGAGCACATAAAGGGTGGGTTCAAGTTATCTCATGGCCAAAATTTCATGATTCTCATTCTTAAAGTGATGTTGAGCCATCTAAACCTTCTTGTCTATGAAAATTCTTATTTAAATGCCAAACAGGTACTGTTTATTTATGCTGTGAAGTTGAACCAAATTGTGGTTAGAGATGGTCATAGCAAGCAATCAACTTATGTGTTTGAAAAGAGCCTGTGTGTGGAGAGAACTTCTGTTGCCAAGGAAATTTTCATGTAATGCAGATTAATTTTCTCCACCTTTTGACATGGCACTGAAACATCTATCTCTCTTTCAGTCATCCCCAAAGCACTTTGCTGTTTTAGAAAATAGTCTGAAGGTCAGTTTTGATTGCTCTAACTCTGAAATCTTTTGTGGTCCTGATAGCATGCAGAATTTTAGATGTAATCAGTAATATTCACTAAAAAATATTAAATAGCCATGAATTGCAAGGTTCTTTGAGTGTGCTACAAGTGAGGCAGTTTATGAATCTTCGTGGTTCCACCAAGAACAGGATTTGAAGCCTAAAATTAAAATCCACTGAAAGGATCAAACACACTGTCATTGCTAAACCAATCAAAATGACTACTTCAAATATGGCAAATCCCTGAATTCAAAGTATATGGTGCTTTTCGGAAATTATTCTCTTTTCGTGTGTTACTTTGAGATTGTTACTATTCTTGTCCCATATCTAAATAGGCATATGGGCCATTGGAATTTTAATATAACATGGCAAATTCCAAAGAAGAAAAGGACAAAGGGAAACAGTGAGAGTTATCTAGTTTGAATACTTTTCCTGAAAAATACGATGTAAATAGTATCTGCTTTAGGATCAGAGACATGGTCTTTAGGAAGCCTATGCATAATATATGGAATTTTATATGTTTCATATCCAGTGCTCTTAAAATACTATCTTAAAATGTTACTATGTAATTGCATTATGTCTGTAGAATGGAGTTTATCACTCATGGGTACTGGTTAATTGGTAACAGCTGTTATTTGAAAGTCTTTGCCTGGTGTGCAGGATTACTCCACCTCATTGTTCCATGCTTCTGCACCCAGCTCTGTCTTCCAAGACTATATGGTCTGCATTAGCAGGCTACAGCTGTTATTTGAAAGTCTTTGCCTGGTGTGCAGGATTACTCCACCTCACTGTTCCATGCTTCTGCACCCAGCTCTGTCTTCCAAGACTATATGGTCTGCATTAGCAGGCTACTGTACCCTCTGGTTTTAAGTTGGTTGACTTCAGCTACTAGGAGGAACCCACCAGCCATCTAGAGGCCAGACAGAAAGTCAGCATATTTAATCCCCAGCTCCCTGTCTCAGTATAGGAGTGGCCTTGAGCTGGCTGACTCCCTCCACGAGTTGTCACAGCTCTTGTCACTAGATGTTCTTCATACAGTCCTTTCTGTCCCTGAGTTCTGTCCTCCTGCAGGTTAGGGATAGCATACAGTAAAGAGTTCACATAGCAGCCCGGACTGCTTCTCATTAGAAAGGCCTGCTTACAAAGTTGGCTGTTGGCATCTGGGAACGTGGATGTTGTGAGAGTCCACACCATCCCCAGACAAGAGTGGATTACTGTGCCTAAACTTTGGTACATATATGGCTTATGCTTTCCTTCTAGGAGTTTGGAATTTTGGTACATGTCAGACAGAGGCTGCCTACTTGAACAACCCCCAATAAAACACTGTGCCTAAACTTTGGTACATATATGGCTTATGCTTTCCTTCTGGGAGTTTGGAATTTTGGTACATGTCAGACAGAGGCTGCCTACTTGAACAACCCCCAATAAAAACCCTGGGCATTGAGTTTCTAATGAGCTTCCCTGGTTGAGAACACTTTACACGTGTTTTCACAACACATTGCTGGGGGGAATTAAGCATGTCCTGTGTGACTCCTTTGGAAGAGGACTCTTGGAAGCTTGCACCTGCACTTCTCTCAGCTTCACTGATGTGCCTTTTCCTTTGTCCATTGTATTCTGTGACCTTTTGCTGTAGTAAATTCTAGACATGGGTAGGATGATATGATGAAGCCTGTGAGTTTTTTTAATCAACATTACACCTAGAGTTCAGGGTGGGCTTGAAGACCCCGGATATAAGCAGTAGAAGATCTCTCTGTTACCATACCCCAGAGTACTGCACCATTTCTTTTGACTATCCTTTTGAAAATAGTTCCTTTATTAAGCTCTCCCCAGATTAGTTAATTTGAGTCTAATGTCTTTTTTCTCCTCAGACCCTAAATGAATTATCCAGTAAATGCAGATATTTTATATGAAAATATTGATAATTATTAGGTGAATTTTTTACATTATTTTAAAAAATTTCTTAATGAAAGGATTAATGGTTTAAAAAGTAAGATAACAGTATACTGTACCCTTGACATCTTATTTAATGAGAAAGTCTGATTAGGTTATGCTTCTGTAAATGGGCAGAGGATTATGCATCTTGTTTAAACCAGGAGAGAAGGTAAACTGGTGGTTGATTGTCTTTAAAAAAATATAGATTTCTTTTTCTTCTTTACCTTTGTGTATTCTTGGGGGAAAAAGAGCTCACTGTCAAAAATAGGAAGAAAAATTTACAATGACAGAAGATAACATTTTCATGTTATATATTATACAAAATATCACTAAAGTAGTTAAATGTATGTTATTTGCCTGATCAGCCATCCTATTACATATTAAAAGTACCTCTTACAGGTACTGGTATATTCACATAGTGTATTCAAATTGTTTCTTGATAATATTTAGATTATTTAACATCTATAGTTATTTATATCACCAAATATTATTCTTTTTTTACACTGTGCTCTGTGAAGCATGATAAGACTTTGTGCTTAATGGAATGGAAATCTTCCTCTTAAAAATCTAAAAATTTTCCTCCTTAAATTCCAAGTTTCAATGACATTTATGTCAACTTTTAAATTAATTAAGTAGAAAATAAATTTTATGCATTCTTGCATGGTTACTTTAAAAAAACATAGACAAATAAATGCTTAATATAAGCTGTTGTAGTCCCCCCCACCACCAACTATATTTGTGTCAGCTGGTTTGTCTTACAAATTTGTTTTATGCTTATAGATAAAAAGCTTTGTTTTAGAGAACTCATGAAACATACCCTTTGTTTATTAATGTCTTGGTAAACCACATGCCTTCTTGATAAAGTAGTCTTGAATCAGAAAGACCTCTTTGCTGGATATCTTACTTGAGTTTACTTATGTGTTTATTGATTCCTTTTGCTAATAAATGCTCTCTCCATTGTAATTTAGCTCCATCCCAGCAACCTCCACCCAGAGGACAAGTTCAAAGTTCTTCTGCTATCAGTCTTTCTTGGAGTCCACCTGATTCACCAAATGCCCACCGGCTTACTTACAGTTTATTCAGGGACGGTTTTGAAATCTACGCAACTGAAGATCAGTACCCATACAGTGAGTTTAAGGGGTTGGTGATGGAAAGATATAATATCCTGAGAATTGATACATTAGATACATTCTTTGATGCTGAGGATAAATGTCATTGTGGTTTCTTCTGTCTAGCATGGAGTGCTTCAAGCAGAGAGAATTACAAATCTCACTAGTAATCAAAGGGATGCAATAAAAATGAGACCTTGTTATGTGACAAATGCATAATGCTTATCAAATTTACAAAGATGAAAAAAATGACCCCATCCAGCATTGATGAGAATGGGGGGAAGCTGGAACTTTTCATGCAGTACTGGGGTGTCTGTGTGGGTACATTAGTACAACTTTTCACGTGCGACAGATTGTTAAAATGTATAGAAACCTTCCCTTTTTGCATGCCATTTGACTCAGCAAACCTATTAAAGTAGGGAGTTTATCTCAAGTGCATAGTCATAAAGGAACACAAAATCACAAAAGATGTGCATACCTATATTATTTGTAACATCAAAATATTGGAAATGATTCAGACATTTAATAATCCTTCAAGTTATGGTGTATGGCATAATGGAATCCTGGTACATTGCTAAATAGATCGTAGGCTATAACAGTCTGTAAAGTGACATCTTAGCCTGCAGATCAATGAATGAAAAACTTCCATCATGGATTGAATGGAAAACTTTCATCACGGATTGTTTAAGGTAATTAAAAGGTATTAAAATAATCTGTGAATTTCAAAATATTAATTTAAAAGTACTGAAAGACTCACAGCAGATGAATCTATAGTTTTCTCTGAGTGTAACTATTACAGAAAATGTATCAAATGTTTCTATCATAGTAGGTTTAACTTTTAAAATTCTCAGGTTAAACAATGGACTTTTTAAAAATCTGGAATCAGAGTATTAACATTAAAGCAAATAATGTAATTTTATGCATACATTGTTATTTCCCCAGAAATAGAACACAACATGTGCTTAAATTGAAAGAGGAAGGATGTGAACAAGTGAGGATTTCAGAGGAGCTTGCAGGAGTCAAACTAGGATCCATTGTCTTTAAAAAACATTTACTCAGGTGTCTTAAACACAGTTTCCCTAAAAAGAACAATGAAGAAATAAAATTTTTACATCCTTCCAGCTCTGACTTCTGTGATTTTTCTTCTAGTCATGTTTAGCTACAAGCTAGTTTAAGAAACTAGTTTAAGCAACCTTGGAGCAGTGATTCCAGTTCAAGTTTTCATTTTTGTTCTCTTCATTTAATACCCAATTTTCCAAATTCTAGTTTAACATGCATAATCAGCTAGAAAAGTATGTAAGGCTATTTCAAAACACTGAATCCATAATCATACTTAAAATGGTTACGAGAATGCCTTGTTTTAACATATTCACTGCCTTTAAAACTCTTACATAACATAGTTCTATTTTATGTATACTACAGTAGGTTAACATTTTGCACCTAATTCCATATGACTTGCAACTAGCCTTAAAATGGTTACGAGAATGCCTTGTTTTAACATATTCACTGCCTTTAAAACTCTTACATAACATAGTTTTATTTTATGTATACTACAGTAGGTTAACATTTTGCACCTAATTCCATATGACTTGCAACTAGCTTATTACGTCCACCACTTTCTCTTAACTCTAAATGTCTCTTCAGTATTCCAAGTCTTCTTTGAAGTTAATGGAAATTCTGAACATCATGATGCAGATTGCAGAGGAAAATGAACATCTGTCTACATCTGCCATGTTGGCAAAGCATCCTAAAATCCTGCTACTAGAATGCTTATTTTCTTCCAAATATCAGCATGATCCAGGTGTCCTGAAACTTAAACTTTTGTGACAGAGGAAGAGAGGAGTTACAAAAAGTTTTGAAAATGATTTTGAAGAGGACAGTACCACTGGTTGAATTATTTCTGAAGTTGTGAATTAAGGTCATCCTATTTTCTATACAGCTTAATTCAATAGCAAAACTACACTTTAAATGACCAATGGCACTGTTCAGTCCAGAGGCATGTTTTCTATAGTAACATGTTGTGATCTATTTTATAGAACATTACATGTGAGTACATCACTCTGGCTCTTTTTTATGATTACACTACTACGGAATCCAAATAACAATTTCTTATGTAATAAATATATATTCATTCAGTAATCAGACATTTATAAAATCCTATTAAACAAGATATTATTTCCTAAAACCTTGTTATTCATTAAAAAAAATGCCACTTCTGGCGTTTCTTGACAATCACTATAATTAATGATGTGAAAATTATCTGCGTGATGGCATTTGAACAGTAAAAACAATTGGTTAACACTGTCAGAACTTTGTATCAGTCTAATAATACACTCGTGTTTATTACTTTATTTCCAGCACGTGGCTAGCATGCGTAATATGAAAAGGAAACACTACTTATATTCAGCTGGATGAACACAAATCTTTGGGTTAAATAAAGGCATTTGGAATTATAGGTGGAGAATCATTGAACTTTTCAAAGAAAATTAATAGTGTTGTCTTCCAAGCAAGTCTGATCATTTGGTTGAAACCATTATAGAATTCTTTGTTAGAAAGGAAACTCTTCCTAGCTGGCCTGGGGTACTGTGGGATTCTCCAGGACAGTAGTTTCCATCCTAAGATCATAGTATATCTTTCAAATTCTTTATTATTAGTTATAGCACTAATAATGGTGAAATAATTTTAAAGTTTCTGAATAATTAACTAAAATAAGTTAACGGTTTCCCTAAATAAATTTCACTCATTTGCATCCTCATATAGAAAAATGTACAGGTCAAATTAGCACTTTGGGGATTGTACATATCAGTACTAATACTGTGTCTGCTGTAGCACCAATCTGAGTAGCTCTTAGGTATCTTATGTGTCAATTGTGTGAAGAGAACTGTTATTGGAAGAAATAGTACCCTTTTGTTAGTGTCACGGGTTTAGGGAGTGGTCAGTAAATCATATTTTTTTGCTATTTGGGTTTGTCACCAAAGGAGCACTAGACATAATTGTCAGACAGATTAAATTTAAAAATAAGAATTATCTTTATTACTTACGTGAAGGCCAGATTAGAGAATATACCCTCTCTCCTGCAGGAAGACAGACTCAAAGAGAGAAGAATCAGTGGGCTGATCTGAGCATACTCTGTTGCCCCTCCCTGCCTCAATTCACAGTCAGATAAGTTTTTTTCCCATTTTGGATGGCAGGAGTGGGGAGATAGCCCTTAAAATGTCACTCTGGGGAAATTCTTCCACAGAGAAACTAGGGGATGATTACTTCTACATGTGATAATTGCTTATATCATCTAGAGACATTAACACATTTTAACTTTAGAGTTTTAGATAACAATATGTCTTGGTGAACCCTGGGATTTTATTTTATTTATTATTTTCACCTTTAATATTATTATATTTATTTTCCATACTACATTGAAAGACCAATGTAACAAGTGGTATGATGGCTCAGTTAGGTCTGAGAGAAAGAAAGAAACATAAGATACAGGGAGAGGATGAGAAAGAAAACAGAAAAAGATAACAAGTAGCTGGGTTTTAAGTTTTTCTTAATATTCTTTCCTAGAAAAATAGGTCAGATATGTATGGAAAAATTATTCATTTGTTCCATGAAGTTTGATTCAGTGCGTATATCAGTGTTAGAAGTGCAAAGATGGAAGGAATGGTTCTCCCTGCTGAGAGGGGAGATGGATGTCAACCAAAATTACAACATAGTGCACTAAATGTTGAACCAGAGTAGACTCAGATTGGAGTGTTAAGAAAACACAGGACAGGATGGGAGTGGGGAAAGCGGCCATGCCTGTTGTGGCCTTGATATGAGTTAGGACCACTGGAAGTTTTAAAAAATAAGGAGGTGACATGAGCTGAATCCACCAGCTACTGTAGTAAAGGAAGAGTGATTCTCACGGAAGAAATTGAGGAATTAAAAGGCATGGAGGTATATGAGAAAATAAGGTACATTAAGGAACCAGGAGCAATTCCACGTAGCCTTGGTGGGTGTTATGTCGGGGAGTGCTACAAACCCAGGGGGTACCAGCCAAGATCATGAATCAGTGCTAAGGCAAAGAGTGTGAATATAGCCCAGAAAGTGCAGAAGTTTGTGGTGAGGGAGCAAATTTTCAAGCTCAGTTAAAAATGGAGATAATAATCCTTATCCTAGTCAAAGAAAGTGACACCTAGGGATATATGCTCTTTCAACCTCAGTGTCATTTTTGTTTGTTTGTTAAGACATCGTCAATGGAAATACTATCTATGCCCTTTCAAATGCTTTTATTTAGTTCATTTTATAAATTGTTTTAGACAATATTCCTACCCAAATACGTATTCCCACTTTGATTCAATTATTATTCTAATTTCTTATCAAATAGACTACTCTTGTACATTCTGATCTATTGGAATTATATTCTATTTTTCAAGTGCTACAAGCATGCAGTAAGTGCTGAACTTCTTTTAATTATCATCAGGATATATCTTCCGACTTTAGTTTAAGCTTATGCCAGACAGTCTCTTGGAATATTCAGCATTGATATTAATTTTTGCCTTTTACAGTTTAGCTTTTGACATGTTAAACAGAACATATTCCATCATTTTTAGTCTTCAAATATTTTTTGAATTTTGTGAATATTTTCAACTTACGTAGAATAAAGATAAACCTAATTTAATCTAATAAATATTTATTTAAACTACTATTATGTGACAGAATATATATAATTTCTGGCTATCATAGAGAGAAAAAAATTTTCTTTTTTCCAATTGTGACAATGATACTCTAGTATTTGCAACAAGTAGGATGTATGATTAATAAATTTCAAACCAATGTAGGAGTCATTTGAATAATTGCTAGAAATATTTAGTATACTATCAATATACTACTAGCAAATCTTTTAGTAGAGGATATCTCTTTTTCTAAAGAGGAATAGAGAATTTTATTCATCAGTTTCACGGATTGAATTAATAAATATTTATTGATATTCTTCTATGTGCTATGAATACAATGGGGAGTAAGAAGGACATGGACCCTGTTTCTTAGAATGTTAAGTCTAGTGTAGAAGAAAGACATTCATCAGGCTATTAAAATAAAGTATGAAAAGGGTTGTGTTAAGGTACTGCATATACGGGTATGTATATGCATATGTGTGTGTATGTATAATGTTGTAGTAGAAGCTCATGGCTAGCTTGCTTTTTTCTATATTCAGGAAAATCTGAGATCTTGTAGTATTCTCCCAGCTGTACTCCACTTAAGCATGCTTAGGGCACTTTTTAAAAAACTTCATATTAACACCCCTCTGCCCTGCTACCCATTTTAGTTTTGCAATGCAGCAGGGGCAAGGAATTAAGAGAGTATGAATCTGGATTTTCTCAGATTACTTAAATTCTCCGAAGATAACAGTTCTTGGTTTGATTTCACAATATAAAAACTGACTAATGCAGAAGATAAGAATCAGATATGAATGAAAATACATTTTTTGTTATTTGATACTAAACATACTTAAAAAGAAATGAATCCACATGTATGTTATTTTATTAGTATTTCAAAAAGGGAATCTCATGTTGTTCTTATGCAATAATTTGTCTTAGCAGCAATTTTGTTTTGGGTGTGTATAAAAATGTATCAAATTAAGAAAGTTTAAAAGGAAGAAAATTTTAAGAAAATTTTAATTTTAAGGAGTACACACTAATTATATTTTGGCAAATTTCTGCAGTGTGTACTCCAGTTTATTTTTCATAATAATCAAGAATATATGCATTATTGCATTCTGTGTTTTTTTCTTATGTTGCCACTGGTCTTCATCACTATTATTTTAAATAACATATAAAATTAGAACCCTATTAATGTAATAGACTAATGTTAAAATACTATAATCTATTGAAAAGTTTCATTTTAATTTACTTAAATATTGTTCTACTGTAAATAAACTATAAATAATTTTAGATGCTTCCCAAGGAAATGTTTCCCAAGAATTTGGCTAAGGACCATGGTCTCATAAAATATTCTTTAGAGTATACTTGTGCCAGTTTTTAACTTACTGCCTCTCACTTCCCAACCTAATTTTCATTGCCTACTTTATGGTAATGGGGCTGGAACCTGTAAACATTTCTTTTGCCAGCCGATACCATGTACAACTTTAGCAGTAGAGGGTGCTGGAGAGACCCCGCAAAAGGCAGAAGTTTCTCTTCCTGGTTCTGGTGTACCCCTCCCAGCAGACCAGTCAACACATGATGACCAGCCATACATGGTACCACAGTTAGGTAACTTTTCCCCAGGACCCCAAAGGGCAGCTTTCTTGGGTACCACTCCCATATAAATGGTGGGTTCTGCAGCAAGCACCCTGGAGGACAGCATGTGGAAGTCCCAGCAAATTCCACTAATAGGCGCCTCCAAGTGGGCAGCTTCCCTGGATGCTGCAGAGTATGGCTTCCCAGTGAGTTCTGGTGTACCCCACCTCCTCATGAGTTCTGGTGTACCCCACCTCCTCATGGGCTGCTTTCCCTGGCACTAAGTGAGTTTGCTGGTGTGGCATCTCAGGAAGTACAAGGGCAGGTATCCAGGGAATTCTGCCTTCATGGATCCTCAGCAAACTTCTTCACCATCTAGTGGGCCACTGCTGCACCCTCTCCAATGAAGTCTGGATCTCAGCTCTAGGGGACTTTTCCAGATATATTTCTTCAATGGGTGTTTTGCCTTAGCACTAGGGGTAGTGACTGTCTTTTATAGAAGAGTCTTTTCCCTGTCTCCTCTATTCCTATATATATATATATATATATATATATTACAGTTTTCTGTACCCTATAGGAAGTAAAACCCTATTGTAATCAATCATTCTGTATATTAAATATTCCTTGTGCAAATTACTCTGTGGTTTTTGTGTCCTGTTTGGACTCTGATACAATGCTCAACATATTTTCATGAAGAATTTGCAATGACATGTATTACAGAATGGCAAAATTACCTTTCTGTCAGATATTCACTCATGGTGTTCAATCTTCAATTATTCCCCTCACTTAACCACCATCATGTCATTTTGGGGAAAGACAGCTCCTTCTGGCTCTTTGCAGAAGGTCCTTCAGAGGGCGTTGGCTCATTTGCAAGGTATAGCTGTCCAGATCTCAACCCTTTGCAATCTGATGCATGAAGCTGGTGAACACATATTCGTTCTCAGCTTGGTCAGGTTCTCATGATCGCTCTAATATCTTAGCCTTCCCTAGACTGTTGCTATTGCTGGGAATTTTCTGAGATTTCTTTCCCAAGTCCTACACCCAACCTTGGCCCTCTCAGAGGCTGAAGCATCAACTTTCCCCAGCCACAGAAGGTCTCATAGTAGGCCCTCTGCCTCTCAACAGTACATCCTTACCATTCAAGAAACCAAGAAAACCTGTGAGTTAAAATCAGATTCTGAATATTTAACTATTTCACTGTAAGCATGTAAATGTACTGAGACCTGCATATTGATATAGGGTACCCCTGTATAATGCAACTCTCCTTTCCTCTCCCACACAAACAGTCGCATGAGGGAGCAGGTGGCAGCCACTCTGGCATTTGTATGTTTCACAGTCCAATGACGTGCTTGCTGTCCCTTCAGAGAATGGGGAATTCCAGGTGCAGGCCTGGTCCTGTCCACTGTCTGTCTTCTGTTACTGCTGTTTTTCACCTTGTCTTTCTACTTCTCTCTGCCCTCACAATCCTTCATGCATAGAAGTCCTGCTTATCCAGAACTCTTGTGTAAATCCTCCATTGCCGATAACAAAGTCTTCAAAATTTATCTGCTTAACATAATAAGCATTTATAATTTCACACAGTTTCTATAGGTCAGTAAATCAAGAAATGTTCTAGTCAGGATGTTGGTCCAGTGACAGATTTGGCCCTTGGTGGTAGTTTGCTGACCCTTGGTCCAGTGTATTAGTGTTTAACAAGCAAACCAGTTACGTGGAGGACAAAAATAACTATAGTTGTTTCTGTTTCTGAGAACTGCAAGAACTTTCTCTCAGACCTTCTCTCAATAGGATGTTATAAACAGCAGAATGAGAAGTAAAACGAACTTCTGAGTATTCTTTATTATACATGGCACATTTCTTAAATTATACTGAATAATAAAAATAACCTGCATTTGCTTTATTTCAGTTTTTAAAATGTAAAAGATATTTAAAAGAGTAGATTGGTATAGTTTATACAGTTAAATAATACAATAGGGAAGCAATTAGAAATGATTTTTTTCCAATTTGTGGAATGTAACTGTTGTCTTTTTTTTCTTTTTATTTCAGATATTCAGTATTTCTTAGACACTGACCTGTCACCATCAAAAGAGTAGATTGGTATAGTTTATACAGTTAAATAATACAATAGGGAAGCAATTAGAAATGATTTTTTTCCAATTTGTGGAATGTAACTATTGTCTTTTTTTTCTTTTTATTTCAGATATTCAGTATTTCTTAGACACTGACCTGTCACCATATACCTCATATTCCTATTACATCCAGACCACCAATGTGCATGGTTCAACAAGGAGTGCAGCTGTCACCTACAGGACAAAACCTGGGGTCCCAGAAGGAAACTTGAACTTAAGTTATGTCCTTCCTATTAGGTCAGACTCTGTGACACTCACCTGGACTGCACTGTCAAATCATTCTGGTCCTATAGAGAAATATATTTTGTCCTGTGCTCCTTTGGTTGACATTCAGCCATGTGTTCCCTATGAAGGTCATGATACCTCAGCTACCATCTGGAACCTGGTTCCCTTCACCAAGTACAATTTTTCTGTACAGGCGTGTACTAGTGGGGGCTGTTTACACAGCTTGCCCATGACAGTGACCACAGCCCAGGCCCCTCCTCAAAGGATGAGTCCACCTGAGGTGCAGAAAATCGGTTCCACAGAACTTCATGTAGAGTGGTCTCCACCAATGCAACCAAATGGTAAGAATTCAAGGTCTAGATTTTCCCCTCTTGGGCAAGACAGAATGAAAATCTACACATTTGGAATTGTGCAGAAAGAGTGTGGCAAGTGTGCACATTTTTATACTGTGTGATGCAATAATTAAGAAATAATTACTGAAGATATAAGACTGTTTGTCCTGGTATCAACAGGGGAACAAGAGTATTTCTTCTAATCTAATAACAAATTCCATTCAATTAAATTGCCTCTTAAAAGGCTAATATTATCTTTGCTCTTAATGACATCCGCTGTAACACAAATGATGTTTATAATTTAAAACTCACTTATGAAATGCATTATATTTGACTGTGTCACAAGTTAGGGCGCCCATAGCAGTAAATTTTCTTTTTTAAACAAGAAAAGGGTATAAAATAATACAAAAAAATGTGTACCTAGGCTAGCTGACTCCATTAAGTTAATTTTTGTGTTCATACAACTGAACCCTTGGTTAGATAGGCCAGACACACATTTATAGATTTTCAGTAATTTGTATCATGTACATATTATGGCAAAATCTTTCCTTAGACTTTCTAAGTTACTTCTAAAACTGGGTAGAAATTAACTATAATATTTATGCAAACAGGGCTTGTGTTAAACAGATATTTAAATTAAAATCCCCCAGTTTGAAAATATACAAATTGGAGGTACAATGATAAAGTTCCCAAAAAGAATTAGCCATTCTTAGTAGAAATTATGACCATCTAACCTGAAAATGATTGCATTCACTTATGATAAATTATAGCTATTTTGAGTTTGTACACTATCCCATTTAGTTTGTTTCCTCCGTGAATATCCCTTTAATAGCATTTCATACATTTATCTGTCCATCATTTTGTTGCCTTTTATAAGCACCTGTCATCTAGATTACTAAACTACTACATCTAGATTACTCAAGAAATTGACAGGTAATCTAGTTAGAATAATAATGGAAAGCCAGCACTTTTTAGCTGACCTATCCCCACCTCATCCCCCCAAAAGCCCATTTTTCTGATGAGTACATTGGTTCGTTGTTTAAATTTTCTAGGAATAATTATAAGATATGAACTATACATGAGAAGATTGGCATCTACTGAAGAAACCACATCTGAAGAAAGTCGAGTTTTCCAGAGCAGTGGCTGGCTCAGTCCTCACCCATTTGCAGAATCAGCCAATGAAAATGCATTAAAGCCTCCTCAAACAAGTACAACGGTCACTGGCTTGGAGCCATACACCAAATACGAGTTTAGGGTCTTAGCTGTGAATATGGCTGGCAGTGTGTCTTCTGCCTCGATCTCAGGGAGAACGGGAGAAGCAGGTAAAGATCAATGCTTTGAACTCTACTTTTAAAGCCTCTGAATGAAAGTTCTGTTTCAAATTAAATAAACAGTACTAAAGCACATTTTGAAAAAAAAAAATTGTAAACTTACATGGACCAAAGAAAAAATTAATATATGAGTCAGTTATATACTCTGTTTCAAATTAAATAAACAGTACTAAAGCACATTTTGAAAAAAAAAATTGTAAACTTACATGGACCAAAGAAAAAATTAATATATGAGTCAGTTATATAAACAACTCAAGGTCATAATGTGATCCGAACCCGCGGCAGGAGCGCTGCTGCACTCCCAGCTCCGCACTCTCCCAAGTGAGCCACGGGGTCGGCCCAAGATTTTTATTTTTCAAATGGAAAATATCTTAACTGGTAATATGAAAATGGAGAACATTCTTGCAGATAACATTAATTTTATATACACTGGTATATTCTCCTATTGTTTTTAAATCAGAATATTCTGTAAGGTCCAGGGTATTTCAGAAACTAAAGTAAATGCATGAATTTAGTGTGAAAACATAGCGGGTCGGCATGTGTTGTTCTGACATTGTTGTTTCTGTTGTCTGTGGCAGCGCCTGTGTTCATGTTCCCACCTTCAGTCTTTCCCCTCTCATCCTACGCTCTCAATGTCTCCTGGGAGAAGCCAGCAGACCATGTTACAAGAGGAAAAGTTGTGGGGTATAACATCAACATGATTTCTGAGCAATTACCTCAATCTGTTCCAGTGGTGTTTTCACAGGTATTGTTATTTTCAATATCCTTTCAGAACTGAATTATGGCTTCATTTTGACATTTTCCATGTTTGCAGAATTCTGTAACAGAATTCTCCCTGTGAATTCATTAAATGGGGCGTTTTGTTTCTTAACATAATATTATGTGTATAAGACTCTTTGTATATCACTTATTTTTTCTAATATAGGCATATGTTGAAAAAGGGTATAATTTTGTTGCCTACGACCTGCTTTTTCCACTTATCATATGTCTGTAAATATTTTTCAAGAGGTTGACTTTCAGTAGCCGTGTACTATCACGTTATTGGACACATAATAATGTATTTAAACAGTTCACAGTTAGTTGATGTTTATGTTGCATTAATTCTTTGGGAAATATAAGAACATCTTATATGTACATTTTATGCATATTTGCATTTCCTTAGAAAAATATCTGAAGAATGGAACTTACCATAGCTTACATCAAAATTTATGAATATTCAGGGTTTTGGATATACCAGTTACATATTGTCTTGTAATAATTCATACTCCTACTAGCAGTAATGAGAATAATAATAATAGCAAATGGTTATTGAGGCTTTAGTGTGTACATGGACTACATCATTTGATACACATAACAGTCCTGGAGGATGAGAGGTTCTTGTTCTCTTAAGTTTGTGGTTGTGGCTGATACACACACTAATAGCCCATTTTACCAGCATTGGGGCAGCCGATACAGAGGCCGGTTGATGTGAACTGGATGAGTCATTCTGTGTTCCTGGCTGTGTAGTGCCTCTTCTGAGGGAGATGCATGAGATAAAAAGATCTTCACACTTCATGACTACTCCAGTAGATCTATTCACATGCTTCTTTCCAAGACTTCCTACTTCCTGATCTTCCAGTCTTTCTTCTTTCATGCCCGTGACTGTAGAGCCAAGTGGCGGCCATATTGTCCAGGTATATTTCACCTTGAGAAACTTCTCTTTCCACTCAAAAATGGGTGACCAACTGTACTGCCTGAAATTCTCTCTACTGAGATGGTTTCTTCTTCCTGCTGTTTTTTTTATTGTGAGTGATTATTATTCATGGAATAGGACAACATTACACTTCGTAAACTAGCTGTCATTCAACAGGGTAAGAAAATAAATCTTTTTGTTTTTTTTTAAAGCCCTACCTTGTGGCTGAATTAGAGTAAAGATATTGTTATGTTGCTTTATTCTTTTTATGCTGTTTCCCTCACAAATAGCTATCTTTTTGTGAGTGATTATTATTCATGGAATAGGACAACATTACACTTTGTAAACTAGCTGTCATTCAACAGGGTAAGAAAATAAATCTTTTTGTTTTTTTTTAAAGCCCTTCCTCGTGGCTGAATTAAAGATATTGTTATGTTGCTTTATTCTTTTTATGCTGTTTCCCTCACAAATAGCTATCTTTCTAATTCTTATTCAATGAAGTGAAGTCAAAGGTAGCAGAGCAAAGTCCACAGTTTCACCTTCTCAATAATTAAATTGTGTCCGAACTGCCCTGAGTGTTTCTTGTTATAATTTTGGTAAATAAATAGCCAAGATGTCCAGAAAAAGACCACTGCAAAAGAAATTTACAGCTTTGCCTAAGAATGTGGGAGGAAAAATACATAGAACTAATGATAATATCAATGTAGGATTTCAAGCTTCTATTTCCTATTCCTTTAAAGATTTACCCATAGAAAATTTTCAAGCAGATAAATCTTAAAGGACATATAAATTGGCTCTATATACATGATAAAAACAAAGTCTATCTGACTGATAATTTTATATGCCTTAAGCTCTGGGGCAAATGATGTCTTTTTAAAATCATGTAATTTATAACAACCATATGTAGAAAAGTAAAAACCTACAAAATTAACATTAGTTTATAATTTCTATTTCTCATTGCATTTCATGTTCTTTCTACAAAGAGTATTTTGTTTAAAAAATTATTTAACTTTCTAAATTAAATAAGAAATATCTGAAGGTCCTTTATCCTAACAATTCTATTTTCTAAAAATTTATACTAAATTTCACCAGGATTGCTCTAAATGGGATGAATTTTATTACAATATTCAGTAAATTTATCTCATTTTAAATTCTTATCTTAGAAAATCTTAAATCACATTGTACAGTATTGAAAAGTTTATAGCTTTAATACCTCAATAATCATTTTAGAATTAGTGAAATAGAGAATAATTAGGTGTTTGATGTTTTCCATAGTTCTAAATGTAATTGCAAAAAAGTCACAAAAGTTTTAAATTGTTCCTAGATTTTTAGAATCTTTGAGTCCACCTTTACTTCTGAACAATGTTTTCTAAACTCTATATTCAATATGAGGGTACTTCAACAAGGTTGTGGAAAGATTTGTATTATCTTTTAATTCTATTTTTCCATGAACTTTTTGAAATATCCCTGTATTACAATCACACTGCTTTTTGGAGCTACTCAGTTTATGAAATTTTGCAGTCAATACCAAGACAAGTATTTCAAATGAATTTTATTGTCTCTTAAAGGGATAATATCTAGCAAATTACTCCAAGTGTTACTAAACTTGAAAATGACCTGTATTTATATTTATGAAAGATTATTTTATTTAAATATGTATCAATAGCCCTAAGAAAATTATTTTGTACTTATGGTTGGTGTCATATTGTCTGTTTTAACATTTTTTCTAAATATAATTTTTGTGGCCTTTGTATTCACAGCCTAAGCAAGTTTACATGGTTGCTTTTGATCAATTCTAGTTGTAATGATAGGACCAATTCTCAGTATTGGTGGCTTAATTACTTGTTTACAGACTACAGAGTTTCTCTCAATCTCCTTTGCTCAAATCTGATATTTTTATTTGAAATTATAAGATAAAAACAATATTATAAAAAGTATAACTGTTTGATCTAATCTGTATTTGCAAAAAGAAGATAACTGACAATTGACCTCATATGGAAGTTCAATAATACACTTAATTTTTTTTTTCCTTTTTATTTTGTGGCTTTTTTTTTTTTTAAGAAAATGGTAAGATTGACTTAATATAGTGACATCTTTCTCTTCTAGAGCCATGAAATAGCATTAGCATTACTGTACTGGGTGACTTTTGGCCAAGTCTCATGGTTTGTTTGGATTTTTTCACAATAACAATGACAGTGTCACCATCTTTATTTCTACCATTGGTGACAATAACCATACCACCATGCTGCTTTATGAGGCAATAACTTGGTTTTCTCATTTATCCACTCAGGAACTGGATTATTACCTCATAAAACAGTGTGATCGTACAATTATCAATTAAATCCTGGCTTGTTGAGACTCTTAAAAAAAAATCCCTTTTCCTAAGAGTAGTTGGCAATAATTCCCTCTCTCTGGATGCATGGAACTTTGACTGCCAAGGTTATATTTTTTTTGCAGTGATTATCTATTATCTGATTTTTCTTTTCTTTTTTTCTCCTTGAAGCTGTTGCACACGGCTAAATCCCAAGAACTGGCCTATGTTGTAAGAGGACTGAAACCTTATAGGATATACCAGTTTACTATTTCTCTCTGCAATTCAATTGGTTGTGTAACCAGTGCTTCGGGAGCAGGACAAACTTTAGCAGCAGGTAAGCAAGTTTTAATGGAAATGAAAAATTTATTGTGTATTTATAAACAAACATCTACAAAGCTCAATGTCTTCCCTGCTTGTGATTATTTGTCTTTTCTGCTTTCTCCTCCTCCCTCACTAACCCTAATTGCTACCACCTTGACATTTTTAAACAAAAAAACAAGTTTAAGAAGTGCCTAGGAGCTATGAATTGCAACTGAGTCATAATAAGAAATATATTTAGATGCAGAGTGACTCTAGGGCTTAGCTACT